AACACGAGAATAAACAGAAAAGAACGACGATTATTTAACTCTTTGTAAACTATCGTTCCCCAATCACGTTGCGCGCATCCACTGGTTACAGATTCTTGCATTCAATGGAGACAGAAGTTAATGGCATTATGCTTAGTGTCTTACTTAGTTTCCTTGGCGACAGGGCGAGAAGAGGGAGTCCCATTTACATCGTAAGTAAAGCTTGAAGAGCTTTAAACGATGCGATCTCGAGAATGGAGGAGAGCAAAGACTCGATTTCTGGAACATAGAAAACCGTATCTGAGAGATCGTCCTACCTTGGTTGTACCTTCGCCGACGAAGGAAGGCATATTTAACGAGGACTTTGCCACCTTCGATCAGCATCGTTGGGGGAGAAAAATGTACTTCCGAAGGACCTTCACTTATCTTTTTGCTGATCTCCAGTCAGCTCCAGCCTGAGTCAGGTTCGGATACTGTATGGCCATGGAAATCCTTGCATTTCAGTCTTTTCATTCCTTTCACTGTACAAATATATTTGTCCAAAACGCAAGCCTCTTCGCTTTACATTCTGTTCAAATTTATAACTACCATGCTGTATGCTAATCGCCATATTTGTGTAATTTTAATTCTTTGCATTTGAAATCATTTTAACTCTGAATATAATTCAAAATAGAGAGAGAGAGAGAGAAAGAGAGAGAGGAGAGAGAGAGAGAGAGAGAGAGTATAAATGTTTGTAATACTTTCAACATTGTGTTCATTATTGTTGGAAAGCAAATTGTTTAAACGAACGATTTGCGCATAAATTTCTTATTCGACACATTTATAAACTTAAATCAATCTAAAAAGAAATGTAGTTTTACATTTTCTAGTTTTAGTGATGCGCATTTTCAAACTTTCACCCCTTCGCCCGATATGAATGAAACTATTTTATACTCAAGTTTTGATGGAACCAACGTATTTCACTTTGGACACGTTTCTTGGTAATAATTTACACACATACATCTTTCATATATAGTTGAATAAAAAATTGAACAGAAACGTGAAACATTCATCCGAAATTAATTTGAAGTATGGAGTTATGAAACGCTAAAAAGATTCTGTCAACAATTTAAGACACAACATTTTAAATGGAACTAGGTTTTTTTTAAGAATCTTCATATCATTATTACAATTATTATTATTATTATTATTGTATACATTTATATATAGTTCTTGGAGATTTATTTACATTTAATTATATAATATAATTCAATTAGAATAATTGTATAATATCATATAACAAAAGATGTATAATTAGTTGTATAATTGAAGTAGTCGATAACTATATATCTACAATAATTTAACGTTTTATGATTACACTAATTCACATACGTATCGCCACAGTCAATTGCTGCCGACAGCAGTCTTTCATTTCAGTCAACATAACTCTTTCTTGCTATGGATTTACTTGTGTGAAAGGGTTGTTGTCCAGATCGTTATAAAGCAGTTTTACATTGCAGCGAATTTACATTACTGCGGTTTGCATGTAGCGCGACAAGCTTATTATCTTCGCATTCAATAGACTAGTAAGAGTAAGCGCACAAATGAACCGCAATTGTCGAGATCGAGTCGCAGAGATTCCAACAATTCCTGTTTATACGTATGCTCACTCAATACAATAGCTATGTCGTACAATACGGTGTACAACAGCATTTTACGGCCCTTATATTTTCAAGCTTATTATTCTTGCGGATAAAACGAACACAACAGTTGATGCGCTATCAAATGTACAAAGCACGAACATTCAAATAATCTTCATCTAAAAATTATAAAATAACGAACCATCAAACTTATACCTCGTTTCCTTCAGAGGAGACTGGCGGCCCAGACACTATACACAGGATATCTCAGATGAAGATCGCCGAAATATCTGTTCAAATTATTTCATTAATATGGATGTAGGATTTCCACTTTTACATCGGCTCAATCTTGATTTGAATCGGCAAAATAATCGGCTGAACTTCTAACGAATTAACTATTCTATTTTTATTTTTAATTTAACTGTTTCTAATAATTAAAAGGAAAAACATCCATACACGTAAAATATGAATTAATACTGAGATGCAATAACTGATATGGCGAACAACGTGAAACTCTTTGTTTCCCTTTTTTTGCAAATGATTAGAAGGACTACCCATGCTTTTATAATAGAGTGTGAAAACTACGAAGCCAAAGAAGAAAAGCTTCAAATCTTCTTCAATACGTAACATGAACTGCATGCTAAATTCAGAGAATAGTATTACAAAACTTGCCCAATTTATAATGCCAATAAGACTATGCTAAAGACTATAGAATATCTAATAACCAGCCAATGTTATAGAAACGTTTCGACAATCGTAAAGCGTTGTTAATGGTGCAACGTTTAAACTTCATAATAGGAAAATGTAGTGAACCTTTATGTAATAATGGTCGAAGTGGTGCAAACAGATCACAAATCTGTGCTTTGTACTTGTCAGAACCCTAAATTATCGGCACTATAATGTCTATAATAATTGCGACAACTGTAGCATTCTATATAAGCGAATATCCAATATGTGTTTACACGGTGTTCGCGTCGAACAGAGAGGTGTCGACACTGATTCTCACTTTGTATGTGAGCCTTGAGCCAGTAACAAGTGCGTAATAAAGCGAAATCAATTACATATATTATATTATATTTATATTATATTTATATTAATTATATTACATTAAAATTAATTACATTATGTTTATATCATATTAAAATTAATTATATTTGCATTAAATTTAAAAATATTTTATTATATTTTTTAAATTATATTATATTTAGACAAAAGCATTATGCATAGTCAGATTGTACAGAATTCATCAAAAAGCTCCTTCCATCGGCACTACACGATAATTACACAAAGTATCGAGTGCCATACGACACATATTTATATCACTTTTTAATATGTATTATATCACTTCAGCGTATTTTAAACTTGTATACTTTTGAGTATTTAGTGTTATAATCTGCTTCTTAAACTCATCCAAAAGATGACGAAGCCTTTGCAAACATATTAATTTACACATTTTACGTACTGATTAAAAATTGGTATTTTCGTAATCATTAACAATGTTCGTGTTATAGACTCGTGAATTGAAGCAATACAGATTTTTAACGGTTGATTAGTAAATTTATTCTCGAATTTAAACGACGATTTCGTCAAGATTAATTGCTCACCAGGTAGATTGATCTAATTAACCCTTTGCGGATGCAGTGGTGCAACGTCAAACCAGCCATAAAATTGGGGTTGTGGTAGAAACGTATTCATTAATCATGACGTAAAATATAGAGAATGTGTACGGTTGGGATACCGGGTGAAGTGAAACGGACGGTTTTATATTATTCGAGTGCTTCATATCGAGTGCTACGATTACATTTCCCAATTCGCGACAATAGTTTTCGGATTGCTCCGAGAATTTCATGTTCTCTAGAATATGGATTTTGGAATGAACGCTTTCGAGTTCGTATCTCAATATACAGAGTGTCCCAAAAGTTACTCGAATTCGAGAAACGAGGGGTTGCTGAGGTCATTTGAAGTAACTTTTTCCTTTGCGCAAATTCAATTTATTGCTTTGTTTACAAGTTATTAACGAAAAACACTGGCCAATGAGAGACGAGCTCGGTTTGTTGCGTCGTTAAAAAAGTGAGTAATATTTCTCGCGAGAAAAATTACCCTTTCTCAGCTAATGATCGTTTTTCAATTTTAATTGCCCTTATGAAGTATACATATAATAAATGTGGATATAATGTGCGTTCATATCAAGTGCCTAATTATCTAGAAAAAGTTACTTTTCCTCTGCGTCGAGGTTCATAACTTTTTATATTAAATTCCTTCACATAATTAATTTTCATTCAAACGAATGAACATTAGAATATGATGTGTGGTACTTTTTATAAATTCTTATTTTATTAATAACAGAAACACCATTTTAAGTTGGTTTTCTATTTTCAATTATATCTTTTGTGATATTAATGTTTTCAACTCTCACATTCGCACGATCTCGAAAGAGAATCTAAAACTAGGTTTTGAAACTAATTTTTAACTAGGTTGTGAAATTTATTTTTATCGTAAATACATTGAACAAACTCAATGACACCTGCGATTTGTAGAATACAAAATGGTTAAACTAATGTTTCCTACGATAAATTTTAACTTTCTAGCCTCGATTTCATTAATTAAATAATTTCGATATTATGGGAATTTTTATTATGGGTATAATATTTTTTACATTATGGGTATTAAAAGGGAGTTAAGTATTCTGCACAAAATAAATAGCTTTTCATCAATGTGTAGGAATTCATAAAAGCAGGAATTAAAGATAGAAATTCAAGCAGAAAGCAGAGAGAGAGAGAGAGAGAGAGAGCGAAAAAGAGAGAAAAAGAGAGAGAGCGCGAAAGAGAGCGAAAGAGAGAGAGCGCGAAAGAGAGCGAAAGAGAGAGAAAAAGAGAGGGAGCGCGAAAGAGAGCGAAAGAGAGAGAAAAAGAGAGGGAGAGAGAGTGAGTGTGTAGCAAAAAAAATGTATGTCAGCATCAGTTCGCCACTGGACAATAACAAAAAAACGAGGTGAAGGAAAGCGAAACGAAAATTGAAATCATCGATTATTTCCAGATCAATCTATCTCATTTAACGACAATTTATAGCGTCTGGAATAACTCGACAATTTTGTATAGTTTCTGGCGCTGAAAATACGGAAAGACCGTATAGCTGGAACGAAAATAAAAGAAAACGCTGAGTTCATTTTATCGCGTACGTTATCATCCAATCCGACAAGCATATTAAACGTAAAGTAACGCGATAATAGGATTAAACTTGAATAAGAAGTGAGGAGAAAAAATGTCTGAAAAATTGTCTCTGAAAAAAAAGGTGATAACGCTCAGTTTTTATGTATTTTTCATATAGGGAATTTATAATTGGTGACTACCCAAGGGTTCTCTTGAAAATTGTGGTTTCAACGGTCACTATCGTTTGTTTCAGTGTGAAAACGGACTTAATGGAAGAGGGGGCCAATTCGACTCTCAGTATAGCGAGGGTAGGACCAGCTGACAGTGGAAACTATACGTGCCATCTCACCACCATGCCTGATCAACCATCCACTGTTCACGTGCACGTACTAAACGGTGAGAATGAACAGTCTTCTCTTCTGAAAGTCATTTCAAAAATTTCAGTTTACAAATATTCACAACCTATTGTTATCCTTTATCAGAATATTACCTCTGTAACTGCCAAAAAGATTTCTAACATAACTGGAACAATTGTATAATTGTTCTCTCATTTTTTATGAAATTTTTACCATCGGATCCCTCTCATTTTTCATACTAAACACGATATAATTACGATTAAAATTACTTGTATAATAAGTATTGTGCGGATTTTAAGCACTTACGACAAAAATTGGTAGATAAAACAATGAGAATATTAACTTTCCAAGCGCTGGTAACATGGAATTCGCGTTCTAAATATTTTATAAAATTGAGCACTAAAAAACTAAATTCAAAAAGTTTTTGCAACTTTCAGTTGCAAAAATTTATCTTGGGTTATGAATAACGTATCTGGATAACAATTAAAAATAGCCTGCGCGATAGAATACCGAAAAATCAAAAACGCGTTCGCGGTTAAATGGTTTAAAAAGTTTAAGAATATCTATGTATTTTTGTCAACTCACAGAAATTATTAAAAAAAAAAAAAACAAATTGACTTATGAATGATGCGATTGATCAAGAATACATTTTATTTTAAGATCCGCAGTTTAATATTAAGCGTTTTGTAAAGATTCGGACTTCAGCTTATTATACAAGTAATTATAATCGTGATTATGTCTCATATACGGTATTGTTTTAATCAGAAAAACAAGACGAATATGATGGTAAAAATTTTATTGGTGAGGAAAGTAAGGAATTTAGATCTTTCAATTTATAAGGCTGAACTTACACAAGTCGTTTAATGTTTCCGAACACCATGGACCCCAGTTCCTCTTTTCTTCAATCCCTAAACTTCTTTACGATCGAAGTGCAACTGCACTTTGCATACCCGACGTTTTACCAATTACGGAGAGGATTCTGTGTACGTAGAACAAATACCATGTATTAGTCTCTTAAGGAAAAATAATTCGTTATTCAAATTTATGAATATGAAGAGATTTCGCCGCCCACGTTTAACGATAGCATCGTGTACTGTAAATCTGCGAGTGAGGCGAGATATTCTACTGGCGTGCTATGAATAGTAAACGCACAAGCAAGTTACAAGCTAAAGGAGAAGACAAGCGTACTCGAAGACTCGTTATACAATTGTACAAGCAGTCGGTTTGGAAAATATTCGGATACATTTTAAAACGGAATATCTTGTTTAAAACGATCGATGACTAAATTGGACCAAATGACTTGAATTTTGTTGAGATATTAGGATGACTACATTACTATACATATAGTTGTAATATATAAACATAATTGGCATGCAGTAATCTTTGACATGCCAAAAAAATGTCATAAAATGTAAATAATACAAACGTAGGAATTAGGGTCAAAATTACAGGAAAAGCAGAGAACGAAAATTGTACAAATAAGATCAAATAGATATAGTATAAAAAAATCTTTTGCTAAAGGTGTATATTCGTTTCTTTGAATAGCACAGGCTACAAATGTTAATAAAAGTATAGACCGATAATGGAGATACGTACGAGATAATAAGTGACACTCAGGTTCTGTCACATGGCTCTTTAAATTTGATTTCCTATAATAAGGCTCATTCGTGCGACAGTACTTTGCTCGACGGCACTGTAAATTGCAGAACATCTTTTTTATCGTTAACTTTCAACGTGTTCTAGGATTATACGCCACGTAAGTATTATCGGATCACCGTATAGAGTAATGGTAAAATTTAGGAGTCTCTACATGAATTTTTATTCACATACCTTCCCTTTGTTACTTCAAATATTCCCTTTGCCTTCAGCCTTTCAGTAACTGTACTTAAGGCTGCTATCGGATATTATTAACAAATTATGCAAATTACCTAGAAATGATATCCAAAAGGAACACAATTTTCCATTATCGCCTTCATTTAGGACGAAAAGATTTACGTGATATCGGTGAAATCGTAAAGCACCGTAAAAGACGTTTTATAACAGAAAATATAGGAAATCTCTGTGTATTGCAAATCAATTGTATCGTTATTCAAAGGGATCACTGCAATTTAAATCATGACATTGTAAAAACGTGAAATCGTTCTGGTGCGAGAGTATTGCTTTTATCTAGCTTTACCGAATTCCATCATTTTTTTTGCACGTTTTCAGAATGGAACGGCATAAAAATTTCGAAAGCTTTGAATATACAATAGATAACTGTAATTGAACTCTCTCGTTTGCCGTTACCAATTGTTCTTTAATTGAACTGCACGTGGAACAGATTTCACAAAATATACACCAACTAAACCGCATATTTCAGCATCTTTTTGTACACCTTTTTTGTACCTATACTACTTTTACCGATATGTTTTTCGTAAGTAAATTTCTCCGCCACTCTAAAAACGTAAAAAACTGGAATGATCGTATATTGTTCGCTGTTAATAGTATTATACATCCGCGAATGTTAACTAATTTAATATAGTTATCTTCCTATGAACATTTAGTCTTTTAATGAGGCAATGTCTACTGTCAAAAGTGTTATTTTTCAATGTATTTTGATTAACTGATTGGACATTATTATTTTCGTCAACAAAGTCTGTTTATAGCAATGCTAAAGAAAATATAGTTTTAAAAAATAATTTGTCCGAAATTTAAGAAAACGTATTTGGAAGAAATAATTTCGCAATCCTTCAATTTTTGCTTTTATTTGTAGATTTGTATAAAAGTTGACTTGATGAGTAGTGTTTCGCATAGTACTTTAAAGTTCCCAATTTTTCGTACGACGAGCAGAATTATTTTTAATTGAAAATATTCGTAACATAATCGAAATAATTAGTACAGGGTCTTCTCACTGGGAAGCTTTATATCTAAATATCTCGAAAGCAACACATGTTTAGGAGAAATGTTAAAATACAAAAAATACTCGATTTGTTTTTGTCAATTGCATTGGAGGTATTTGGAGAGTAACTGTGCTCATCCTGTAGAGCACGCTTTATGTATCCAAAGCATCCAATCTTTAAAAAAAAAGGTAAATTCACATAGGTAAATAAATTTTTAATTTTATTAAATATCTTTGTATGATGAAATCTGATTAAAAAATGTTTCATGCAAAATTTGATTCTTCCTTCGCGTGCAATAAAAATCTGCAAATAAATATAAAGGNGGAACACAATTTTCCATTATCGCCTTCATTTAGGACGAAAAGATTTACGTGATATCGGTGAAATCGTAAAGCACCGTAAAAGACGTTTTATAACAGAAAATATAGGAAATCTCTGTGTATTGCAAATCAATTGTATCGTTATTCAAAGGGATCACTGCAATTTAAATCATGACATTGTAAAAACGTGAAATCGTTCTGGTGCGAGAGTATTGCTTTTATCTAGCTTTACCGAATTCCATCATTTTTTTTGCACGTTTTCAGAATGGAACGGCATAAAAATTTCGAAAGCTTTGAATATACAATAGATAACTGTAATTGAACTCTCTCGTTTGCCGTTACCAATTGTTCTTTAATTGAACTGCACGTGGAACAGATTTCACAAAATATACACCAACTAAACCGCATATTTCAGCATCTTTTTGTACACCTTTTTTGTACCTATACTACTTTTACCGATATGTTTTTCGTAAGTAAATTTCTCCGCCACTCTAAAAACGTAAAAAACTGGAATGATCGTATATTGTTCGCTGTTAATAGTATTATACATCCGCGAATGTTAACTAATTTAATATAGTTATCTTCCTATGAACATTTAGTCTTTTAATGAGGCAATGTCTACTGTCAAAAGTGTTATTTTTCAATGTATTTTGATTAACTGATTGGACATTATTATTTTCGTCAACAAAGTCTGTTTATAGCAATGCTAAAGAAAATATAGTTTTAAAAAATAATTTGTCCGAAATTTAAGAAAACGTATTTGGAAGAAATAATTTCGCAATCCTTCAATTTTTGCTTTTATTTGTAGATTTGTATAAAAGTTGACTTGATGAGTAGTGTTTCGCATAGTACTTTAAAGTTCCCAATTTTTCGTACGACGAGCAGAATTATTTTTAATTGAAAATATTCGTAACATAATCGAAATAATTAGTACAGGGTCTTCTCACTGGGAAGCTTTATATCTAAATATCTCGAAAGCAACACATGTTTAGGAGAAATGTTAAAATACAAAAAATACTCGATTTGTTTTTGTCAATTGCATTGGAGGTATTTGGAGAGTAACTGTGCTCATCCTGTAGAGCACGCTTTATGTATCCAAAGCATCCAATCTTTAAAAAAAAAGGTAAATTCACATAGGTAAATAAATTTTTAATTTTATTAAATATCTTTGTATGATGAAATCTGATTAAAAAATGTTTCATGCAAAATTTGATTCTTCCTTCGCGTGCAATAAAAATCTGCAAATAAATATAAAGGTTTCCATGTAAAACAGCGAAGTTACCCCCGAAATAACCTTCAAAGCGATCAACAAAAAAGAAAGAAATAAAATAGTTGTATTTCGCCGTTGAAATCGAGCGACTTTTGTATTTAACATTTTTCCCGACAATGTGTTATTTACGAGATATTTGAATTTAAAGTATTCAACTGAACACATGGTAGAATGTGGCCACGATGAAATCTTTTTAAATTATTCGGCTCGAATAATGTTATAATCTCACGTGAAACGTGCATTTACAATCTCGAGATCCCAGCCATAGTAAAAGGTCACGTGGCCGCATTAAACATCATGTAATATCCGTGCACGCCTGTTAATTGTTGGTGTTCGTGACGAAAGAAGTAAGCGAAGCATCGGGGAACGTAACTTTAGTTACATCGCTAAAGCATTATAACGATCTTAAATGCAATGCACGGAAGGGCTGATAAGATAAATAGAACTTATCGCAACGGAAAAAATATTACAACGTAGATAGAAAGACACGGTTATAATTTAAAACAGTGTACGTTTGTCGCTACTATATATTTGTTGTTAATAAACCGTGAGATCGCGAGCAATTTTTTTT